GTGTGTGTGTGTGTGTGTGTGTGTGTTCTGGATGATGAGCTGAGCCAGGAAGGATGAGCGGACAGGAGCATGACAGGAATGTAGGGAAGGCGGGGAGGCTGGCCCCTGGCATGCTGCACCCTGGCATGCTGCAACTCGGCTGGCACCCTTTGGCCTGCTTGGCCCTGTCCTCCTCGGTCCTACATTTCTTTAACTTCCTCAGTTTTCCGGTACCACTGGGCCTGGGCCACTCACCCCAGCTGCTCCCCATCTCCTGGAAGCCAGAGGTGGGCAGACATGCTGGTGTGAGGGCCCCCATGCCACCATGCTGTTGGCTGCACTGACGGGTATCTGGCTGCAGTGGGGGTGGGGTAGAGCCAGGCTGTTTTCTCCCGGCTAGCACTGGCCGAGGGAAGCTGCAGGCCAGCCTCCCTGGGTGGGCAGAGCGATCAGAGTCTGGTCTTGCTTATCTCAAGGAGGCTGTGAAGCTGTGGGCTCCAAGGGCAAGGGGGCACCGGGTCTCTGTGGACGCTCTGGGCCCTGGTAGGGTGACTAAGGCTAGAGAATGGTAAACTCCTGGGCCAGCTGTCAAGGACCAGACACAGTGGACCTGAAACGCTCTGTTCTGTCATAATCCATCCTCTTCTCCCACCAGTTTTCTAGAGACTTGTGACCAAGAAAGCCACCAAGGTTCTCAGGTCCCCAGAGGGACAGCTATCGGTCAGGTGCTGCTCCAGCCAGGGCCTGTTACACGTTCTGATTCCTTCTTGCCGACGGGGCAATGACAAGCCATGGCGTAGCCTCCACCTCATTGTCCCATGCATGGCTGAGTCAGGACCTGGGGCAGCAGACCTCCATGCTTCCAGAAAGCTCTGGTTTTGACCAGGGCAGACAGCTAGCTAGACAGGGGCCAGCTTTTCGGATGCAGGGTGGCCCCCAGAGGGTGGGGATTGAGTGGTGAGGCTGCTGGGTGTGGAGTGACCAGGGTGGGCCATGGTTGGAGGCAGGCTGCGGGGAGCTCAAGAGGCCGGAGCCAGCAACGGGGCTGAGCTGGCAACTGATGAAGGCCCCAGAACAGCCCTCAGAGCGTAACTGCTTGGTCCCGCACCAAAACCTTTAAAAGTATTTGCCTTCCTGGCAGGGCTGTGGCTGGTTTGGGGGAGAGGCCTTGGTGCGCAGGGGAATAGAAGCCCCAGATCTACATCCAGAGGCGATTTTCCCAGGCTCCTTCCTCCCACACAGCGGCTCCCTCCCTTGGAGCTGGATCAGGCCCTTCCAGCCAAGTCCTGGCTGCACAGCTCGGCTGGTCTGAGCTGCTGTGTCTCGAGTAGCACCGGGCAGACTCAGCAGCCCATGTCCCCTCCCACCAAGCATGGCTCCACCTCCCAGCAGTTGGGACGACCACTGAGGTGGGAGGCCTGAAATGGCCAGCTCCAGCTTGGGCCCCTGGTTGTCCCATCCATCTCAGAACAGAGGCTCAAGGTCACGGTGATTGACTCCAGTGCGAGGGAAGGAGCCACTCTGTCTGCCGCCCTGCTAAGCCCTAACTTGGCGGGTCACTTCTCCACAAAATGGCCCCGTCAGCCAGCACAGCGGCTTCTTTCTAGAGGCACCTCAGCCCGGGCACCCGTCTGTCCCCTCCAGGGTCTTGGAGCATCCAGATGGAGAGAGGCAACGCGCTGGTGGTGCTCCGCAGCCTGCTCTGGCCAGGCCTCACCTTCTACCATGCTCCCCGCACCAAGAACTATGGCTACATTTACGTGGGCACGGGTGAGAAGAACATGGACCTGCCCTTCATGCTGTAGGAGGGCAGTCTGGATATCTATGTGGAGTCCAAACCCTGTTTTCATAAAGCTCAACTCTGGCCTGTTCTGTCATGCTTTTGTCTTTGTGTCCCCATCTAGTGACATGGCTCTGAAAGGACCACTGAGTCAGGAAACCTAATTCTAACCCAAAAGGCGGAGACCAGGAATGTGCTAATGAAGGAGACACCAAGTGTGGGCAGGTGGTCACGGGTGGGGAGGGATGGCAGGGGCCTGCTCAAATTCTGGGACTCAACTGAAAGCCACGTGTGGGTTAGGCCAGACAGAGTGATGCCTATGGCGTGGCCCACGGACCCACTCCAGTCAGGCAGGGCCCATTCAGATGAGCGCCTTCACACTCGGCCAACGCTGGAGGCCAGCACGGGCCCACACTTCCAAGCAGTGACCACACGGGGAAGCCTGGAGCCTGCTTTATTCCATTTCTTTGGGTCAGACTCCTGCCCAAGCCAGACAGAAGATCACAGGGCAGGAGATCCAGCTCCTGCCTGCCCTGGCTCCCAACACTGTGGCTGGGCAGATCCTGGGAACAGAAGTTAGTCCCGAAGTCCCCATGCTGTGTGTGGAGGGCAGTGGTTCTGGTGGGAGGGCCAAGTGTAACATCTGGAAGGTTCTAGTCAGATCTTCAACAGCACGGCTCCCATTAATGAAACAGCTTCCAAGGCCTTTTGGAGTAGCAGACATTATCTTTCAGGAGTGGTGACCCCACGGCCATACCCACCTTGTCCCAACGGTGGCCTTTTTTGTAGATGGGCTTGACAGAGCGGGGAGCCCAGCGAGTCAGGTAGCTGTAGAGGGAACACAAGAAGGTTGGCATGCCGGAACTGGACAGCAGGGCACTGTCCCGCCAGGCTGTAGTGGCTGCATCATCCCGTCCACCAGTCTTCCTCTCAGAGGGCAAAGCATTTTCCTGGGAGAAACTGCTGTTCTGGGAACGGATGGACGGACTCTGGCTGTTACAGTGTGTGGTCAGGGTCAGGCAGCCCAGGCCGTCCCCTTGACCTTTCTAAGATCATCCACACTCAGGGGAGGGCCGAGGAAGAGGACGCTTGGACCACAGCTCTCCAGCCCGACCCAGGGAAGGGTAGAGGCGGGGAACCCGGCACTCTTCCCCACTTGGCTGCTTTAGACACCCAGCCTCCAGAAAACTCCTCAGGGGACCACACTGGTGCAGGACCCTGCCCCTCACCCAACCCGATGGAAGCAAGGGATGAACACAGTGGGTGCAGTCCCAGGCCAGCAGGTTCCTGTAAGTGAAAAGATGGCGGCCACCCATGGTCCTCTGGCTCCTCTGGGGATAGCCTGGGCCCAGATTGTTCCTGGAAAAGTGGCTCACAGTGCTGAGACCGGGGTTTACTCTGTTCATAATGAAACCTGGCTCCTGACCAGAAAGGCTGAACTAGAAAGTTCAGCCACAAAGGCCAGGGGTCCTCCCGTGTTCTATGAGAGGTTGAGGCCTGCCCTGGCCGCCTCCAGAGACCCTCAAGTAAAAGCTTCTTAATTTAAAAACTAGTATTCCTGGCAGAAATGAAAATCTATTTTTTTGGCTGAAATCTTTGGCTGAAAAAGGGGTTGCTGACTCACGCACGCCTTTCCTCCGTGCTCCTCTGGACCTTGGTCTTTGGCTGGTAGCCTTATGTAGAGGGGAAGCTCCCGGAGGCCCAGCCCTGGTGTGTGCGGGGCCCAGGAGGTGGAGGCAAGGCGCCCCCAGCTGCCTGGGGTGCTGCTGTCTCTGCAGTCAGTGGTTCTAGGACAGCAGGCTGCTCCATCACAGGCTCCTCACCACCAGCTGGCCCTGGAACTGGCTTCTCCCAGTCCTGGGGTGGGGGTGAGGGGTGGGTGCAGGCCCATGAAACAGGGTGCTCACCAGGACTCAAGGACCTCCGAAGACCCCAGCTGAGCACTCTCCAAGCTGCCCTCCTCAGCTGTCCTTCAGCTAGCTCGGGGCCAGATGCCTGTGCCATGTGGAGCAGCCACTGCCAGGGAGGCTGGGTGGCCTCCCGTCAGCCCCCTGTGAACCCCGCAGCTCTAGTCAGAACTCAGGCTTTCCTAAATCACCCCCTTTCTACCTCTTCTGAGCAAGGAGGACGGCCTGTGTCCCCATGCACAGAAGAGCAGGAAAGGGGAGACCGTCCCCTCTGCTGGAGAAGATACTGTTGCACCCGGGCGTTGAGGACACAAGGGAGTGAGCAGGGCCTAAGCCCTTGGGTGCAGACCAGGGACCCTTGGGTGCAATCCCAGCATCCCTTGTACGGGATCAGCACCTCCTGAGCCAGGACGTCCCCTCCCCCAGGGATGGCCTTTTGCGACTCAAGAGCCCCCACACATCATCAATCCTGTGTCACACCAAAGGACACCGGATGTGAGGGAGGGAGCCTGGCCCAGCTTCAAAGGCCCGAGGGCAGGATGGATTGTGTCCTCAGGCTTGCTGCTGTCTCTAAAGAGCCAGGGTGGGGGTGGGCTCAACCCCCAAACAGACCAGAGCATGCCCTGCTCCTCGGGGCTGCTGGCAGAGAGCCAGTCCAGCTCTGCTCAGCATCTAGGAATGGGGAGGCAAGGCACAAGGGAGCAAGCCTACGTTACCCACCTCACACCCTCCACCTAGCAACCCGGCCTCCCAGCATCCACCTGGGTCCTGGTAGGGATCTCTGCAGAGACCTGTGGGGACTTGGGAGTCTGGCTCTGCCTCAGCCACCCTGCAGAGTATGCCCTTCTCACTATCAGGAAAGGCAGCCTGACACACTGGAGGAGGAGGCCGCTGGGGGCCCAAGAAGGCAAACTCTTCTCTCAACAAGGGGGTTCTGCAGATCTAAATGCCTGTGAGGGTGACGTCATGGAGAGGGAGCGTGCAGCAGGAGGGCTGTCTGAATATCAGGTGAGACTGCTCTCACTCCAGAGGGCCTGCCTACCCTGCTGCTGCTGGAGGGCTGCCCTGCGTCTCTTCCTCCTGAGAGCCCAGGAGAGCCCAGGATGCCAAGGAAGTGGTGAAGGCTGTTCACTGCACGACTCCAGGGCGCAGTAGCGTGCCGGAGCCTCTGTGCAGGCTGCCTTGATGCAATGCTGTGTACAGTGGTCCTACCCACAGTCCCCACGGCAAAGGCTTGCTCTGCCCTGTGATACCCCAGTGCCGGAGAGAGCTGGGATACTGCAGGTCTGCAGCAGCGCGCAAACATCCCCACAGCAATGCGGTGTGATGTCACCAACGGGAAAACATATTCTAATGCCCAACTGTGTCAAGGCCCTCTAGGACAGAAAAGAGGAGACGTGGGCCAGGGAGGAGGCGGCAGACGGCATACAGTACAACCACAGAGGGAAAGATGGACTGGGCCGGCTCTCCTGGGCTGCCAGGAGAGCCATGGGACAAGCCCTTTGAATGCGGTGAGACCCACGGGCTTAGAGTGCTCGGGTCAATTGTGCTCATGTTTCCTTACCGGTTGAGCTTGGGTTTATTCTTCGGTAAGGACCCTTCTGGAAGCCGTGGCCTGTGATCTGGGAACAGACCTGAGTGGAAGAACATACAGTCAGCCTGTCTCCACAGCTCTGAAAGGGCCAGGGGTAAAGACCACAGGAGTGGGGAGCAGGGGGACACGGTGGGGGTGGGGCAGACAATCAATGTCCTGCTTGTCGCCTCTCCGGCTGTGACAGCTGGCTGGGCCGAGGAGCCTGCAGCCCACCACCCCTCTTAGCCCTGGGCACCCTGACCTGCTCGGTGGGCCATCTTTACACACTCCTCGATCTTTCGGTGTTCTTCCTTGCACAAGCCTGTGACACTCCGGGGCAGCATGCCTCCATGAGGCCGGATGAACTGACTGAGCAGCAGCACATCCTAGTGAAAACCAAAAACTGGAATGTAGGTCAGCTGGGTTTCCTTGTATGCTGGGAACCAGGACTGTGGGCTCTGCAGGGGTGCCAGCAGGACAACTCATTAGGACTTTTCTATTCCCCATTGCCAAGCAAAGGGTTCCCAACAGCTCCCCAAAAATCTTCTGACACATTAGGTGAGACCAGAAATGCTCTAGTAAGCATTTTACCATCAGTCCTTCTTAGTAGTAAAAAGACTGGTCATCTGCCAGGGAGTTGCAGTGCACATCTTTAATCCCAGCACTTGGGAGGCAGGAGGATCTCTGAGTTCGAGGCCAGCCTGGTCTACAGAACGAGTTCTAGGACAGCCAGAGGTGTTGTTATACCTCTGAAACCCTATCTCAAAAACAAAACACAAAAACAAACAAAAAGTAAAAAAAAACAACCAAACAACTGGAAACAAAAGTGTCCAGTGGTCACTGGTCAGTCTCATCTGCTGGGGTAGGACATGTACAGCATTTCCATGAGGGGCAGCGCCTGTTCCACCCCAGCGCAGACTTAGGTGGCCCAGGTGAAGTGCACACAGTCAGCTGCTCCCCCTGCTGTTCTGCTCAGGTGCTAGGCAGGACCGAGCTGGAAGGAAGGAACCAGGCTGTCCATATTTCATAAGCCCAGGTGGGAATGGGTGCTTGGGCCTCCTGTCACACCCCTAACAAGCTGTGTGGGATTACGTCTAGCAAAAAGGACAAACTGGTAAGGAACGCTCTCCTCCACCTTAAACGGCTCAAAGGGTTAAGTAACACTTGTCCCTACCAGGGCCCAATGCCAGCCTGTGTCCGTTTCCTAAACTGTTGCCTTGCTGTATGACTGCAAATTTGTTTTAATCACGGGACAGCTCCTGGGAACCCCAGGCCCCAAACTCCCAGCCCAGCACTCTGCAGACTTGGACTCATGCACAGCTAAGGTGCTGCTGGCTTGCATCCTCAGCACCCTTCACTGTGCCGAGCCCGCAACAGCAGCACACAGCTTGGGCCAACGGTGCTCCAAGTGGAAAGAGGAAAAAGGAAAAACAACTTTAGCCTTTACCTTGGAGAGGATTAGATTTCTTCTCCTGGAAAAACAGCCAAATCAATTTCCTGGAAATGGCCAGCAGGACACTGCCCTGAGTGGCTGGGCAGGTGTGGGGTCTGCCTCCCTCTCTGCAGCTGGGATTACGAGCATGCCTGTCTATTCACTGACATCCATGAGACAGGAAGCTCTGGACTCAGCCTTCTGCTGTACTCTGAGCACTTATTTTCAGGGACCCAGGGCAGAGCCCTGCCCTGCCCCCATGCCTGGGGGTGGACTAAAGCCAAGGTTCCCAGCCCCGGAGATTAGTTGGGTCACTCTGTTCAGATCTTCCTGCACTTATCATCTGACCAGGATCTCTGCCCTTAGCCAACCTGTGCCTCAGAGGGGAACCGGGACAACACACAGGTCAAACTGGCCCAGAGCCCGAATCACCTGAAACCCCCAGGGCGCTCCTGTCAGTGAGCGCTCTGGAGAACAAGTGTGTCCAGGCTGGGTCCTGTCTTCTCTGCACAGTAGCAGGTGGCACATGGGCTCTGCCTGGCTTCTTGGATCTGGATCCTGGCTGATACTTAGTGCGGGAGGATTGCAGCAAGATTATTAACTTCTCCATGCCCAAGATTCCCTCACTGCAAAGCAAGGATAAAGTCCCTACTTCACGGGTTAATTAGAAATCGAAGGGCCAGTAAGATGGCTCTGCCAGTAAAGGTATTTGCTATGCCTGGCTATCCGAGATTGAGCCCCAGGATCCACATGCAGGAAGGAGAAAGCTGACCTCCACGTGTATGCTGTGGTATCTGTTCCTTCACATAGACACACACTGCTCCAAACAAAAAAAAAGACTAAGTGATACTGGGCGGTGGTGGCACACACTTTTAATCCCAGCACTCAGGACGCAGAGGCAAGAGGATCTCTGAGTTCAAGGCCAGCCTGGGTGACAGAGTGAGTTCCAGGACAGCCAGGGCTACACAGAGAAACCCTGTCTTGAAAAACTGACCAAACAAACGAAGTGAGTTAAGAAAGCCCATGAGTGCTCAGGACACGGCCTCCTGGAGCAGGCCCCACACCGACGCTGTCTGCTGCTGGCCATGTTCACCATCATCTCCTTCCCAGAAGCAGCTGCTCTGGAAAAGGTGCAGCAATTGGGTGGTCTGGAGCTGCACTGTGGAGACTAAAACGTGTCTGCAGATCCCACTGTGAACCACCTCATTACCTAGGGGAGAGGAGAGCCAAATCCAGGCCTGATTCCAGCCCGGTGAGAACTACCCTGCCCTTCTACACCAGGTCATGAACTCAGTGGCTTCCTGCTCCACAGCCTCTAAGAACTTTAAAATGCCCAAGTTGAGTGGGTCTGTTTGAGGCTGAGTTGTAGAAGCAATGATTTACCTTAAAAAAAAAACAAAAACAAAAAACTGAGGTGCGTAAGTGGTTTGCCTGCTTGTATATATATGCACTGCATGCCTACTCAATATCCTCTGGGGACAGGAGGGCACTGGAGTTGTGGGTGGTTGTGAACTACCATGTGGGTTTGAGGAGCTGAACTAAGGTCCGTTGCAAGAACAGCAAATGCTCTTAACTGCTGAGCTGTCTCTCCAGTCCCATACTTTTTTCTTTAAATTTTTGTTGAGATTATTTTATGCATATGGTATTTTGGCTGCATGTATGTATGCAAACCATGTGCATGCGGTGCCTGTGAAGGCCAGAAGAAGGTGC